GGTAATGGACCTCCCTGATGAAATCGGCTGCGAGGAGCTTCCCGACCTCCTCGTTGACTATCCTCCAGCGCTCCGGGGCGACGTTGCATTTTTTCTGTCTAACGGGCCTGACTACAGGATTAGTATTTAACTTATGAGTTATTATCTTTGCATCTTTATCGGGCATCTCTGTCATGGACCATGCGAATATATCTAAATTTTTAATTAAAAAACTTACCATCTGAGAACGGAGAGGTTCCTCGACCGATGCACCGATTTGGAGAGTTCTAGCTAGATGTTCTGTTGAAACATGGGCGTGGATTGTCTCTTCTATCAGTGTAGCTCGCTCCTCGGTGTACTCCGTAGGTCGCTCTAGCTTGAGGTCATCCGTTAACTTGGCTTTCCCTTTGAGTGTGGCGACATAGCATTTGCGAGACTCGAGCTGGTCGCCTCGCGCTACCCCTACTACGAAGTCCGTGGGGAACTTCATAGCCAAATAGTAGGTGGATACTACTGCGCGAAGTTCATGGGTGATGGGCCGACCTACAATGACATTGTACGGGGAGGGAGTCACGACCACTAGGAAAGTGTGCTCGAATCTCGCGATTTTAGGCCACGTGCCGACCTCCACAGGTACTGAAATTCGCCCTAGGGGCCTGACTTCTTCTCCACGTACCAGAGGAGTACTTGTGGGCTTGATGTCGCTTTCCTGGAGCTGAAGCTTGTCGAAGGCGTCCTTGAATAAGATGTCAGCCGAGCTCCCTGAATCCACTAGGATGCGTTTAACTTCAAAATCATTGATCCTCATCTTTATGACTAGTGCGTCATCATGGGGTATTGAATCCCGCGTGCGTCGTCTTCTATGAAGAATATGGGGTCTTCGAGCCTTGGTCGCTTCGGAGGATTCAGTTCTTCTCGTTTTAGTTCGCGAACCGAGGTCTTCCCCGCTGCTGAGGTGCAGCCTACAACAATAGACCCGCCTGTAATCAGGTTGATTACTCCGCGGATCGGTCTTTCTTCGGCCAGCTATCTCTATTCACTCTGTCTGCTGCTAGACTCAGGAGCATCTCTCCTTTGCTCCCCCTACCGATCTGTCTGGTTTTTATTATCTTTTTGTACAAAATTTTTCAAGTATCTGCGACGGATGAGTTCTTCAATCTCGTCGCGGAGGTTTTTACAATTTTCGGTACTGTGACCGTGATCTCTATGGAAATGCTAGTATACATTTTTGTTTCTTGTGGCGGGATCTCCCCTCAACCGGGGTGGCCACTTCAAATAAGAGGCGTCCTTGATTGCCATGAGAATCTCTCCCCACTTTGCATTGAGGGGCGTGTAGCTCGTTCTTTCGACCGGAGGAGTTCAGGAACGCTGATCTGACTTGTTCCCTCCCTTGGTTGGTGACTTGCTCTTTCTTCGCTTGTGTCCCCGTTGTTCGAGGTGTCACCTTCTCATTTCCTCTTCTCCGCTGGGTTCTCACTTTTCTGGTTCATCTCCTCTTCGGTCCTAATGAACTAATCAGCGAGCTTGAGAAACTCGGTGATATCTTTGGGCTTGTTGGCTACCACGTGCCACTTGAACTCCCTATGAGTGATACCTCTCTTCGCTACCGAGAGTCTTATAGCGGGATCCAAATCAGGAATTTGTAGACAAGTGTCGTTGAAGTGTTTGATGTAACTTTGAATCAACTCTCCTTCCCTCTGGACTATGTTGAGGAGGCTTTCTTATGACCTCGGGCACTTCTTGCTGGTAATGAAGTGCGAGGTGAACATCTGCACAAACTACGCCCAACTCTTGATCGTCCCTGGCGCGAGGTTCCTGTACCACGTGCGAGCTACTCCTTTGAAGGTCGTAGAGAAGGCAACACACATGCAAGATTCATTAGCCCCAACTATATGCATCTGGGATTGGAACGATTCTACATGATCATTTGGGTCAAACGACCTGTCATACTTATCCAGCGGAGGCATTTTGAAGTCCTTTGGCATCGGGGTGGCCAGGAACTCGGAGGACAAAGGAGATGGCACGGAGAGGAGAGGAGCGGTCTTCGTGGCCTCCGAGCTTGCCTCCTCTTTGCCTTTAGGTGGTTCGGGCTGACTAGGTCTAGCGAGCTGGCTTGGAACTGTAGCTCGGCGTGCCTTACGACACCGCTTCTGCTGCTTCTTGACTGGTTCTGCATTTGTGCTGCTAACTTCCATGTGATCGGGTACGATGCGGACACGGGGTAGTTCGAACTGCTGGTGCTGGCTGCTGTGGATGGAGGGGCCTCGCCTGGAGTCCGCAACCAGAACCCCGAATCAATTCCCCACGAACGGACCTTCTTGACGCGATGGCCTAAGTGAAACGGCCCTGGCGGGCTGAGTGTCTCCTGATCTATTGATGTTCTCCGAAGCAGGAGGAGTAATCTGTCTGTCCCTCCTACCGCGAGATGAGACTTGGCTCCCAAGGGGATGTGGAACCTGGGAAGTCTATCCTCGGCGAGGAGGGTGAGTGCTCTGATGACGGGATCTGCTTTGCTGTGGGGCCGGATTCCGAGGTGGAACCGGCTGTTGATTCTGCAGTAGTGGAGGGAACTATTGTTGATATTGCTACTGGTAAAAGTGGTGCAGGACCTGCTGCTGGTATTGCTGGAACTGCTGGACCTGTTGCATTTAGACCTGAATAGTTCGCACGCAGTGTACCAGGTCATCAAGCTGATTCTGCCCAACTGCAAGGGGAATCATAGAAGGTTCAGTAAAGGTTGCACCCACCGTAGGAGGGAGTGGGGCATTCACTGGTGCTACGACTCGAGGTATGTTCAATGTTGGAACCCCATCTGCATAGAGAGGCACGGTGAACTGACCGATGCACACGGCTGGGAACTGAGGTTGTCCCCCGGAGACGTTCATTTCATCGTTCTATCCAGTGTTATTGAAGGATGCCATGGATGCTTTTCGAGGAAAGAGGCTTTTTGTAGTGTTTTCCACAGACGACGCCAAATGATGTAGCGCAATCCGACTACTCCTAGCTAGAGGTGATCTGGCTTCCAGCAGACGACATACTCGGTTGATCTGCAAAAAGCGAATCAGAGAACCCGGGGTTGCTTACCTGGTGAGATCGCTCTGATGCTTAAGTTAGTACTTGGTTGCGAGCTGATAATAGCTTAGAATGCAAGAGGGCTAGAGAGCAGAGATTACGCGTACCTTTCACCCCCGGGGGGTGGAGCCTTTATATAGTGGAGCCTTTGTGGGTTTTGCTGAGCGGTTCCGGGATCCTCGTCACGATGAGGTCCATTTCCCCGTTAATTGGGGATAACACTGCCAACTGATAAGATTCATCACTTCCGCCCGAATCGGACGGGGGAGATAATGTTAGCTGTTATGAGGCGTGATCTCGTGAGGTGCAAAATCTGGTGGCGAGATCTTCAGGGTTGCCATGCAGTGGTCGGTCAGTATTACTCGAGCTAGTGCCCTTTGGATCCGACCTGGTACGAATGCCAAAGTGCCTTGGGATCGAGGTGGTCCTGATGTGACCGTGCACCGAGGTGAACTCGTTCCGAGGTGGACTTGCCCCGAGGTGGTTTGGTTATTCGAGCTCGATCCGTTGTAGACTTGGTGCATCGGACTGAGCTGTCATCTTGCTAGTTAGGTCGTGTCCACGTGTCCCCCTATTACTAGGTCGGGCCAAATCACCCTACATCATGGATCATGTTCGAATCGAACCCAACTGCATTTGCACCTCAATGATAAACCTTAAAATATGCATCCAACCCAAATTCAATATATGGAATCTTATCATGTTTAAAATGACCAAAATTTTAAAAATAATAATAAATTTTAACTTATATATGTATAACAAATGTACAAAATTCAAATCCAACCCAAATTCAATATATGGAATCTTATCATGTTTAAAATGACCAAAATTTTAAAAATAATAATAAATTTTAACTTATATATGTATAACAAATGTACAAAATTCAAATGTTAAATTTATCAATTATTAATATCTACATATTTCTTATTAGACTTGGATTTTAGTGGGATCGATGGAATTATTAGTCAGATGATTTTTTTTTTTTGCTTCATGGGGCTACACAACAGGAGGGGTAACCCATCCCCCATCCTCCTAACCCCCTAACTAAGGCTGTATTGGATCAAATGCAGCAAAATCCAAACCCAATCCAATTATTGAAAATCTACACCCGAATCCAATCTAAAATCGAAAATTTGATCAGATTTGAAGACCTCGAATTCAAATAATATAATTATATAAAATTTATATATTAAAATCAATAAATATTAGAATATAATCAAATTCAAATTTTAATTGGATAAGAGTGAATCAAATCCAAATCTAACCAATTATATAAATACATCATCCTAATTCGAGATAATCAGTTTTTTTTTTTCATGGAGCTACACAACAAGGGAGGGGGGGTAGCCCATCCCTCATCCTCTTAAACCCCCAACTAGGGCTGTAATCAGATCAAATGCAGCAAAATCCGAACTCGATCAGATTATTTGAAAATCTATATCTATATCCAATTAGAAATCTTATCAAATTTAAAAACCTTAGATTCAAATAATATAATTATATAAAATTTATATATTAAAATCAATAAATATTAAAATATAATCCGATTCAAATTTTAATTGGATAGGAGGGAGTCAAATCCGAATCCAATCTGATTACATAAATATATCATCCAATCCAAATTCGAGATAATTAGATTGAATGTCGGATCTGGTCTCAAATTTTCGGATATAGACCTACCTAGGTTGGAGAGGGATTTGATCAAGTCTCTACTGAATGAGTCATGAGATCTTAGCAACTCAGCCACCACACCATTAGTTGATTATTAATTGGATGATTGGATTCCTAGTTGATTGGCGGCCGTATTTACAGGTGTTAAAAGTCAAAAATATCCCTGTGTTTTTGACTTCAAGGGTTTGCCATTTCAGTAATGGATATGATCGTTTTCTCCCATACTCGTAACCCCCACTCCCATTTCGTTTTTTTTTTACCATAATCACAACCAGCGGGAGAGTTTGCAAATTGCAACTCAGCCTCCATCAGTTGGTCGAAATTTGCCCTAGTCCTAATCTCTCCCTTCAGCAGAAACATAAAACGGAGAAGAGCCACAATTCATCATTTCATCATATATATATGGCCTTTGAGTTGAGACGCTTCACACCACAATCTCCAACGGTCAAAATCCTTATCCCCAAACCCAATCCAAACCTCGCCCAATCCCTCAATCTACCGTTTCCCTCCACACCTTTTTTCGCCCCCCAAAACGAAAAGAAATAGAAGAAATAAACATTCAACACTCACAGAACTTCTTCTCTCTCTTCCCTCTTCCCTCTGTAGATAGATCTCTGCAGAGCTAAGAAAATTCATCCTGACCATGTCTTGCTCCAATCTAACGATGTGGGTCTCCTCCAAGCCCTCACTCTCCGACCCTTCCTCAATCTCCTTTCGATCTCTTCTCAACCCATTTCGTCTCCCTTCCCACAGTTCAGCAACCAGTATCCCCTCTCGCTCATCGTCGACGAACCCAATCCAATGTGGTCTCCGCGAGCTTCGCGAGCGTATTGATTCCGTGAAGAACACACAAAAGATCACAGAGGCAATGAAGCTTGTCGCTGCCGCTAAGGTCCGAAGAGCCCAAGAAGCCGTCGTCAATGGCCGGCCTTTCTCCGAGACACTCGTTGAGGTTCTGTACAACATAAACGAGCAACTCCAGACTGAAGACATCGATGTTCCTCTAACTAAGGTCCGCACTGTTAAAAAGGTCGCATTGGTTGTTGTCACCGGCGATCGGGGTCTCTGTGGTGGCTTCAACAACGCAATTATCAAAAAGGCAGAGTCCCGGATTGCAGAATTGAAGGATCTCGGCCTAGATTACACTGTTATAAGTGTGGGTAAAAAGGGTAACTCCTATTTCCTCCGCAGGCCCTATATTCCTGTTGATAGGTTTCTTGAAGGTGGGAGCCTTCCTACGGCGAAGGAAGCTCAGGCCATCGCCGATGATGTGTTCTCACTCTTTATAAGTGAGGAGGTCGATAAGGTGGAGCTCTTATACACCAAATTCGTGTCCTTGGTCAAGTCTGATCCTGTGATCCACACATTGCTTCCACTTTCACCCAAGGGAGAGATTTGTGATATTAATGGTAATTGTGTGGATGCTGCGGAGGATGAATTGTTCAGATTGACAACCAAGGAAGGAAAACTGACAGTGGAGAGGGACGTTGTGCGAACCCCAACTCCGGAATTCTCACCCATTCTGCAATTCGAGCAGGACCCAGTTCAGATCCTTGATGCACTTCTGCCTCTCTATCTAAACAGCCAGATTTTGAGGGCGTTGCAAGAATCATTGGCAAGTGAGCTTGCAGCGAGGATGAGTGCAATGAGCAATGCCACTGACAATGCAGTCGAGTTGAAGAGGAATCTCTCAATTGCCTACAATCGGGAACGCCAGGCCAAAATCACGGGTGAGATATTGGAGATTGTTGCAGGAGCTGAAGCCCTTGCGTAGTTTGATTTGAGTCTGGTTCTTCGACCCCTTCCCTTCATTGTTATTCTCTTTTACTCTATTGTTATCCCTATATTTTTGTGGTTATTTTCTAATTCATTCAGATATGCCTGTTTAAGAAGACTTATTTAGAATAGACAGCTTCTTAGTTTTAATCCACGGCTGTGTGCATGCTTCCCTTATAATGAGAATCACAATGTGGATTTGGATCAAAAGGATGTTCCATGTCAAACTGTGTTCTTATATTCATAATACTTGTATCATATTGGAGTTCTTTGCTCCATGGACTACTAAAGTTATCTGTTAATATTTGGGTGGAAATAATAGTTCGGCATTGTTCAATCTCAATTTTATATAGAATCCTTGTTGGAATTTGATGTAATTCTCATGATTTTTTATCAAAATGTGATGAGGATTCTTGTTTCCTAGAATCATAATCATTCTATCTACAAGAACATAGGAATGTTAGAAAACGCCAGATGATTTTGTTCTACTTATGTAGCAGTGGTTTGGGTATATGTTAGGCTAAACTGATATGCAGTCCATGATGCAACATAGTTAAGTTAGATGGATGCTTCTTCGTTTGATTTTTCAATAAAACAAAATTCTTCCTAAGCCTATATACAACAGTCTCATATGGCTCCATAACATGTTTCAAAATGAAGCTTTATTTGTAACCAGAGAACTCATTTTTTTCTCTGATGGTCTTATCTCGATATATATATAATATAACAACTTAAGTAGAAAAATATATAATTTAAAATATTTGTGATACCAAGATCTGGTTGTAGTGTACTTGCAGAAAAGTCAGCTCTGAAACTAATTCAGTTGTCCTTGGTGACCTCCTAATGTAATGTGTATAGTTGTAGATAAACATTAACTTCTTGTTAATGTAAATCCCATTAATATTTTAAGTGGGTTTAGATATCATATTTTCATTATAAGAATTTATGTGAATCCAAAATTAGGCTCAAACTCGGCATAAAGCAAATAATATGGTAAAGCTGAAATGGGTTCCTTGACTCATAATTAGTCTGTTTAACCACTTGTGTCTCACTTCTTCATTTTCATTGTGTTCTTAAGGAGAGGAGGCATTTAGAAACACAAAAGTTTGTCAATAGAAATAAACATTAAAATACTAATTAAATATTTTAAGTATATTTATATATAACTTTTGATGTTCCGGTGTCAACAGAACTAACATTTGTTTAACAGCATATCTCCCATTATTGTTGTTAGTGTATGAAATATTGTATGGATGCATCATCCTGAGGTTTATCATACTCGTACATCAAAAATTCACTATAGTTGTAAGAGTGCCCATAAAAAAGCATACAATTATAAGAAAATGAACATTAAATGCATTCCGTTTTATTTCTACAACCATTAAACCTCCAAAGAAACAATAATATATTTATTCTTTCTAGATCCACGAAGAAAACTTGGTCCAAAACCTTTGTGCACTAATATTCTTTTTGTTGTTTGTTCAAATGAAGCAAAGCATGTGTTGTATTGAACAAGAATGAACTTTATCATTGCTACAAGGCTTATCACTGTGGCAATTAAGATTATTCCATATAAATATCTTTTATTAGATAAAAAATGAAGTAGAAAAGCGGATAGGTCGAATCATGGGAGAAGAAACCTCAAACCTAGAGTTCAAGAGGTTACTGTGGAATTAAAATTGAACTTCACCCTATCAAACTAATATTTTGATAGAACTTCACCTTACCATACATTTCTTCTCTGATACAACATATGAGGTAATGTAAAATTTAAAATTTTTAGTCATTCTTTAAGAAATTTTACATTTTTCTTATTATTTCAACACCTCTACATTTAACTGTATTGATGATTTTTATGCATCCCTAAAAAATGCATAGTACCTACCTTTTTATCAAATCTTGCTTGATAAACTAAATCTTGTAGGTGATAGATAAGTGACTTTTAGCAATCACAGGAAATTTATGCTATGACTTGTGATGGCTATTATTGCATCAACTCTATCAATTGGATTTTTTATAGAATTTATTAATTGGATCCAGTTATGTAAAATTTACCATATAACAAAATCAATTTCACCAAATTATCAAAGCATTATAATCCCAGGATAGTATTAATCTTTGCAATTTCAAAAAATTGCAAAAATAAAACTTATCATTTACATTTTCTAGCCTATTTAGACTCAAAATTTAGCATAACATAGTTGCAAAAATATTTTGTTTTGAAATTGTAAATGGGATGCTCAAGAAAATATAAAACATTTAACTTGGATTGCACATGCATATTCTATCTTATATTGATTTTAAAATTTCACAACAACCTAATTTTGTGATTTGGTAGAATGATTGCAACCAAAATGTCCCAATGTCATAGGACTTGCAATGTTGAATTATAAAACCCATATCTTAGAATCCTAGTTTTATGGTTATCTAATTTGCAATTACTTTTGATTTAGGTGATGATTCATACTTGAAAAAAGATTTTGTAACTCAAAAAATGAAAAATAACTATTTTGATTACAAATTTGAGTAACTACAATCCATAATTAGTTTTAGGGAAACTTGGATTTTCTCCTAATGAAGTGATCCCCACACCAATTCCACAACACATTTGCAACTATGTATTGGGAACTTCTCTCATGCACTTATTGTTGTCAGTCATGGGGAAAAGTTTTAAATGCATGATTGTATTGTGATGTGGGGAGCAAATTCGAGTTTGTCTTTGGAAATTAAATAAGTCTTACACCTCCAACAAATGCCTTGAGGAAAGATAATATCATTGAAAGGTAATTTGATTATGGTTCTTAAATTTCATTATAGACCATTCATCATTTACTTTGACGATTCATAAGAAGGACTAATTTTGTCTTCTATGAATGTTTCATTCCATATAAAAAAAAAAAAAAAAGAGAAAAGAGTTATTGGCACAATTAGTCTTACTATTAATTTGTTTTTAAGAGCGATTAATTCAGGTTATAGTTACAATATTGAATATAACAAAAGCACAAACAACAATATAACATCCCTTACTCTTATAGAAGTTCTCCAGTTATTGTATCAAACAAGAGATTTGTTTTCACTCATTGCACTAAAAATAGAAACAAAATCCAAAAATGGAAAATATGGTAAAGTAATGACCCAATAAATTTGATGTGGCAAGTGATCTATTAATTATGTGTTTGCATTTACTACATTCTTGTGTTAAATAATTTTGATTAACTATTTGCCTATGTCAATTCCGTTAATATTTTAAGTGGTTTTAGATATTATATTTTCATGATATGAATTTATGTGAATCCAAAATTAGGCTTAAACTCGGCATAAAGTAATTGAAATGGATTTCCTAATTCATCATTACTGCCTAACCACGTGTACATCACTTCTTCATTTTATTGTCTTCTTTAGGGGAGGGGCTTCTATAAATACAAACTATGAAAATATAAATGAATATTGAGATACTAATTAAATATTTTAAGTATATTCCTATATAACTTTTGACATTCTAGCATTAGAAAATTTGATATTTGTTTAACAATATATTTTCCATTATTATTGTTTGTGTATAAAATATTGTATGAATGCATCATTTCAAGGTTTATAGTACTCGTATATCAAGAAGTAATTGTACTTGTAAGAGTGCGTGTAAAAAAGCCTACAATTATAAGAAAAATGCACATTAAATGCATTCCGTTCTAATGGATTTGTGAACGACATTTCTAACATTCATGTGTTTATTGCTAATGTTGGTCTTTGCTACTTAGCTTAAGGTCCAAAATAGCCCTTTTAACTATTTATGATCGAAATTGGCTTTTTTGCAACATTCAGAGGATGTCAGAGCCAAAAGTCCTTTATATTATACATTTTTCACCTTTTATTAAAATGATGTTACATAATTTCTAGTTTATTTAGACTCTACACTTTGGCATAACATATATAGAGTAGATTTTGTGTTGTTTTGAAGGCCTTTTTATTTTCTTCACATTCTCCGCTAAAGTATTTATTACATAATTTTGTTATTCATAGTTTTAGGGAAAAAATTGTGCTAATTATATTTTGTCCAGAATGGAATGCTAGTGAAAATATACAACATTTAATTTTGATTGTATATGTATATTATATATCTCATGTCGATTATAAAATTCTACTACAACATAATTTTGTGATTTGAATACTATGATTTGATAGAATGATTACAATGAAAATGTCTCAATGTTATAAGATTTATATTATTCAATTTCAAAATCTAAATCTCATCATCTTTAATTTGTGGTTATCTAATTTGCAATTAGTTTAATTTAAGTGATTCATACTCGGATAATGACTTTATATTCATAGAAGGCAAAAGGATGTACCATTGCATATTGTGTTATTTCTTATATTCATAATGCTTGTATCATATTGGAGTTCTTTGCTTCATGGACTCCTTGAGTCAGTCATATGTTAATAGTTCAACATTGTTCAACTCTCAATTTTATATAGAATTCTTGTTAGAATTTGATTTAATTCTCATGATTTCTTTTATCAAAATGTGATGAAGATTGTTAGAAAATGCCAGATGATTTTGTACCACTTATATGGTAGTGATTTGGGGTGTATGGTAGGCTAAACTAATATGCATTCCATTATGTAACATGGTTAAAATAGATGGATGCTTCTTGAGTTCTTGGTTTGGTTTTTAGTGAAACAAAATTCTTCCCAAGCCTGCATACAACAGGCCCATCTGACTCCAAAACATGTTTTACGATGAAACTTTAGTTGTACCTAGAGAATTGTTTTTTTCCTCTTACGGTCTTATCTCCATATAAATTTTGGGTAAATTTCTTAAACTACCCTTATGGTTTAGTTAATTGACTAAATATCACCTTACCATTTCACTATTGTCTAAAGATATCCTTACTATTTCAGAAAATTACCATTGTTGTTAAGATATTAATGGAAGGGTTGAAATGTCCGTTTTGCCCTTAAGTCCAATTGGAAGTTCCTCCAGTTCTTCGTCATCTTCCTCAATCTGGTCTTCACTACCAGGTCCAATCACCCCGCCTCCAATACCGACACTGTTGGGTCCCGATAGGTTGGCCACATCATTTTCTATGTCTACGTGGCTCAGACTCACCGTCCTCTAGCAAATGAAATCCCTTTCTCTGAGGTGGGTATTGCACGACCAAATCAATTAGCCTTTTTTAGGTCGATCACTTAGAAACCGATGATTAACTATTGATCCATCTCCCAAGAGAAAGCTGGTCGGTGGGGATTTTGGGAGCGGAAGCTCAAATTTGAGTACGCCATCATATTCATCTTCGGATTCGACCTCACTTACTCCATCTATGTCTAATAGTCCTTCAGTAA